CATTAGGCGGGACACTAAATGCTGAACTCGGCAATTTAGCGTAAATGAATGTAAATTATATGTACATTACATCTACCTTTAATGTACACACACCCATGACTTGCACTTCGTTATTATAAATTGCCTTCGGACAACAAATTGAAAATATTGAAGAATAAAAAGTTCAAGTTAGAGCCAATGTTGAAAATAACAGGGATAAAGATCTCTCTAATCGCGTTATCGCGGATACATACACGGAAAGCGCGGAAATGCTTTAATCTGAGGATTAAATTTTCGAACGGCGCAAAGCCATTGACAATCCTCTCGACCTACATTTTCTTTATATCGACAGGATGCATCTTCAGCTCGCAGAATGATCTCGCGTTGCCGAGTGAGAAAGTTCAAAAACGAATGGAACTCGAAAACGGAGATCCCGGATTCAACGGGGGGGGGGGAGGGGGAGGAAGGGTCGGGAATACGAGATTTTCACGCGGCACGACTCGGCCCTCTCGCTTCCAGGGGCGAAAGTGCAGCGCCGATGAGGTGCGATTCGTCGCGGATGATGTGACAGAGGGGGATGCACGGGGGGATGAGTCACGAAGCGAGAGGATTAACGCGCTCAACGAACCTCCGAGGCACCTGTTCGCCACGTGTGTGCGTGCGTACGTACGCGCACGTATACGATATATGTTCTAAACGCGCGTTCCTATCGGTTAATTTTACGAAAAATTCTTAACTATCATACAAAGGCTTACGCAATTATATAGTACATGTACATCATTACGTTAGAAACGTGATACAGTCTCTCGTCGTTTTGCTCCGCGTCGCCCTTCTCTCCCTTCCTCCCTTTCTCCCTCTCGAATTCGCTTTCGCCGAATTCCTCTGCGCTTACATCATTTTCGCTAAGATAATTATTAATTAATTAATCCTAAATCGATAATACACACCGGCGTCGATTATTTATAATTCGGAGTTGATTTTTTTTCTTCTTTATCTTCTTTTTTTATGCGCGCAGTTGCTCGCTCGCTCGCTTCTCGCTCGCGCCTCGCGTTGTCTCGACGCGTCTCGTACCGATGGATTGTCAAATACACTTCACGCGCTGTTTATGCCTGCGGTTAAGAATTCACCGCGACAATCCGTTTCCCCGAGCTCCACGATCGATCACGTGCTCGGTCGGCGAGATCGCCGGCGATTTCCCGAATCGCGGCCAGTCTCGCCGAGAATCCGACGCGTTAATCGGGCTATTAAATTCCATATGCTGAAATTACAGCCGGTTCACATGCTCGTATATATGATACACATTTTTTGTTAAATATTCATGTCCGAAATTAATAATGAATCATTTATATATCATTCATATATAATACGAATCATCACTCCGTGATAGAATATCAAGCGACTCAATTATACTTGTAATATATTTATAAAAAAACAAATAAATTAAAAACTTGACTTATTGCATATAAATTAACTTAAAAACAATCTAAATGTTTTCTTTGCGTGTCCAAGATTCGTATTTATTGGTATTTTACTGGTTGTTATTGCCAAATAAAGGAATTTATCATATTCGCGCCTTGTTTTTTTGTCATTATAGGATCACCGAACTATGTTTTTATATCGAAATCTGAATCTCACTTCTCATGTATCCATATATTCATACTCAATAAAGACAGAAATAAAACAGACAGAATATAAAATCAGTTTCTTTTGAATAGACGCTGAACTAAGAAAAAAGCTACATGAAAAAAAGAAGTTTTGATAAAATATCTGAAAATTTGACTAGATTTGACTTGATACAAATTTAAAGATTATTTTATTGGATCGTCAAAACAATTATGTAAGATACTTAAACGTGATAATAATGCAAACATTTTTAATATTTTAGCAATCGATTTAAGTTCTACATAATTATTTTGATGGCTCAACAAAATTATTTTCAGATCTAGTAAAAATCTAAATCTAGTAAATTTTATAATACTTCAACAAAACCATATAATTAAAAAAAAATTTCAAGCGCAAGTTTGTGTTCGCAGACTTTTTATAAGTCAGGAACGCTGTTTTTGAATTGAAAGAGACAAAATCGCTGCGAATTTCACTCGTGGATGCCATAGCCTAGTTTTTAATACTAGATGTTACAAACGCGCGCTGCGCGCTATTTATCTTTTTCAACACAAGAGCAAAAATTAATATAATACTATTATACTAACTGTTACACTATAATATTTTTAACTTCTTGATATACAATGGTCAAAACGATCCCCTGTGAGATCAATACAATGATAGCTATTCACGAAGTTAGCGCAGCGAGAGAACCAATTGGCATCGCGGAAAAGCGGCAACAATAAAGTTCGAGAAATGCGAGTAATCGATGTCATGCCTTTTTTTTAAAAAGGAAGAAAGAAAAAGAAGAATCTTCGAAAAAATTCCAAACAATTGCAAACGTGAGATCGTTCGCATTGCTTTACGAGCCTTGCGTTACAAGCCTAGAATTGTCACTTATATCTCGTTGATGTCAAGACGCATCGCTTGAATGGCGAGAAAAAGCATCGTTAAATCCAAAGAGTGGAAAGACGAGAAAAAGAGGAAACACCGATTATTACTTGTACACCATCGAAGAACGGTTTCGAGTGAACTTCGCGTAATCTTCCTCGAGATCGATCGACGACACGCGAGTGACTTTGTATCGCGAAGCTGTAATGACAACAACCAAAAGAACGTAAACGCGAGAACGTCACCAATTAAAATCTGAGGAAATAAATTAAATCGTCACAATCATTATAAACAGTGATTAACACGTTGAATGCCACATTATTTCTCTCCGATGCTACTGATTGAATCTCATTAAGACAGTGTAAATACAAGCTCGCATAATAATTTAACATCAATTGGTACGTCGTATAGCGTGCTAAAAAATATTTGACTTCACCGTTGAATGTAACACGATTCGGTAGATAGAAAGAAATTCATGTTTAAGAAACAATAAAGAAGACGTCCCTATTAGAAGACATTCTGAAAGTGTAAACTTGAGACTAGATACAATCGTTATCGAGAATTAATTATTACGGGAGTAATTGATTATTCACGAATAGAATTTTCGGTAGAATCGCGAATGACCGTTCATTATCTTCCATTACAAGTTGATTATCTTTCCTTATCTTCTTCCTCATCGCAACCGTTGTGGCGTAACGTAATTGACAAATGTCTAAACGTTTCTCTCGATAAGATACGTCGCCGATTAAACAAACGGCGGATACATTCATACGTATACAAGGGTGTTCAATTACTATTATGTATTTGTGTATACGCGCAGCGCACGTAAGGGCCCTCGCATTGCCAGACTACAATCGGCGAATGCGCGATAACAGGAAAACCCCTGCATGCAAAATTAACAACTCGTCGGCCCGGCACTCCACGAGTTAATCCGCGCGAATTATGGAAACGGCGACGGGGAAGCGTCCGCGCAAAATAAGCCAGTCTACGTAAAAAAGCCAAGCCTACCCGAACTATCGGCAGTGGTAGTGACGACTGGTCCCAGTAAATCGTCACTAGAGCATTGTGCGAGATACGCGATCGTTGAAACCGGTCGATACGTTTTCCGCGATCGATTTCCGGGACGTGGCGCGGCGACGGGGAGGAGGGGGGAAGTCGCGATCATTTTTCTCCGAGTTTCGGTGGAGCACCGATTAATGCTCTCGTGGGCGTATATATATATAATCGTTCACTTTTCAATAAGATTAGCATTCTCGCAAACGCGCACGTCGCGATACGATTTCCGCTCGATGTCCGCTGTAAGTTCTAGTCGGATTGAAAGAACTTACAGGATAATAACTTGTCGAGAACTTAAGAGAAATACTACTGCATGAGAAAATACAAATAGGATAAATAATCGGGCGATACTCTCGCGGATTAGGATCGATATGGAGAGGCGATGGGATAAGAGGGATTCAAAACCCATATTCGTGTCACATCGCGTCACAAAGATCATCGCGCGTGCTCGCTGTCGTATTGCTCGAGCTGAACTGCATTCAAAGCTGTATCGAAACCCAGCATTTTTGCTTGCTCGATCGTCGAAGGGGAAACGAGTATCAATTAGTAAAAAGATTTTCGCTTTTTCCTCCTTACGTGTAAGCAATGTGTTATTGATGATACGTATCGGTAATTACATATTAATATTATGTGTTATGTGTTAACATAAAATATTAATATTTAATTAAGATTATACATATAATTGCTCTAATATAAGTATGTCTTTTTAAAAGGTAGTACCTTCAAAGAAGGCCTATGACATTGATATTCGTTCCTTCGACTGACTAAAAAAAAAAAGAAAAGAGAGCATCGATACTTTCGCATTCCTGTCTGTGAGATTAAACTATATATATCGCGCGCTTTACAAATTCATTCATCACCTCGATACAATATAATATACGTAATTTTTACACACACATATATAATATATATATTTTTTATCTACATTCGTTAGTATAAATTCCAGTACGCCTAAGTTCCATATCACAAAGACATGCCGTTCGGTATCACGATTTTTAACCACCGCCGATTTTTATCGCTCCTCCCTTTCGAACTTATCGACTTGGCTGCTGTTCGCTGCTGTCATTGCCGGCTACGTCGGCGCCCTTTCTGCCGCCTTCTTTTCTCTCCTTTTTTTTTCTTTTCTCATTATGTTTCTCTCCTTCATAGTCGCCGTTATTATCGTCGTCGTCGTCTCATCACTCGTCTACGCTCGGCTCTTACGACTGCCCGGTCTGCGCACGCGTTTTGTTCGACTAAATTTAGCGATTTCGCATTACCAGAGTCATCGCGAGGTTGCATTGTTCGCAGACTGTCATGTTCCGAGAGCCATTCTAGTGTACAAGATCGCTTGACGATTAGATATAATCGGATATAGAGTAACGTTTGAATTAACTCGGAGAAAATCGATGACGACGATGAGATAAAAAATGATACATAAATCAAAACGCATTAGCGTTTAGGAGAGTTAGCGAGGAAATGATGAATGTTAATAATTTTTGTGTTGCGACCAATAATATATTTGCACTTGAATGAAATTACACAACAGAAAATCGATCGGTAATACCAATTCGAAGTGAATTTTCTTTTATCTCTTTTTCGTACACATTTTCTCGTACAAATAAATAAATTCGCAAAATATCGCATCATGATTTTCGAAAAAAAAATCACACAATAAAATCGCGTTTTGATACATGCTTCTAAAATGTAGATAAAACATGTGATAAAGCGTGTAGTGATAAAACGATCGTTACAGAATATAAAAAGCGCTTTTTACACAAATGTGACTAATTAAAAAAATTATCAATTTACAATAATGATAACTATTGGTACGTGAATTGATGCTACAAGTATATCTGGACGACTTTTATACAAAAATTATTTACATTGCATAAATACTATTGCATTCGCCCCTTTTTCTTTTTTTTTTTTTGAGGACAGTCGTTGTAAAAATCTACTTTTCCATTTTCCGTATATAAAAGCCGTCCATTCATGGCAGGATCTATGAGGTACCGATAATAGCGTGGAACTAAAGGGGCCGCAGGACACTCGAGTCATTCACCCCGCACGAGCACGGGGGAAATCCCTTTTATTTTCGGACATGGTTCTTTGTCGTGCGCGTCCTTTAAACCGGATTTCTCGTTGCAGATGCGCGGTCCATAAGGTCTAACCGAACGTGCCTGCGGGGAAAAGAAAAACGTGAAAGACGGATGGTACGTGAAAAACGCGACTGTCACGTCTCCCGAGCGAGAACCGCGAGAAAAGGAGGCTGCTACTGAATGCGGAGCGTTTTCGTCTCGATTAAATGTACGCGGCGCGAATAATAAGCGCCGAGGCGAGAATGCACGAGGGGGAAATTAACCCAGTTAGCTCAGAAGAAGCCGAGAGGAGCGCCACGAGAAGTTAACAAACCGGGCGCGATTCTTCTCATCGTAAATTGCGCGTCGCGCCGTTCATCGCGCCAGATTAAACGCTAGAACTTCGTAAGCGAAGTACAACGCAGTCGCCAGGTACAATGTTTTCTTGGGCGTTTTCTCCGGTTCACCGTACCCGCTTCAAATCAAATTCCGCTTCAGAATTGACAGAACTTTAAGTTTGGTTGAAACCACAATGAGCGTTTCATAATTCATCACTAGTAGATTCGTGCGAACGAATGACTTGATGCAGGGGGGGGAGGGTCCCTTATCTCTATTTTTAAGATATTGTAACAATACGAAAAGAGCTAATGAGATCCTGTAGATGTACTAATTATACTAAAATAATCGTCATAAACATAAAAAAAAATCTTTTGGTCTATTTCAATAATGAAAAATATTTTTCAATTCATTTCAGTGACAATGAAAAAAATGAGAGATTAATAATTGCTTAACGCGGTTCGGTTTTAATCAATTAAAACTAACACTATCTAAACGCACATTGTACAGAAACATTTACAAAAAAATTACAAAAAAAATTTATAAAAATTACAAACTGTATAAAACCGTATTATCACTTTTTTCTACATTTTATACAATATTCTTCGTGATATTCATGAGCTATTCTATTTGATCGATCGAATTCATGGATCAAGCGATTCTCGCTCGATTTGCTATCGCGCTTTTTTTTGCCAAGTGTATGCAGCGAATCGAACGTGTTGAAAAATGCATTTACAGATTTTCTCCAGGATCAAACGACAAAATTTACTATATTCGGTTGAACGTGTGCTCTCTCGTCCCTTAGATTGCGTCCTATCGCGGGGGCAAAACGCTATACCTGCGTCGCCATCACCGGCGACGCGGTCGCGATACGACGATATATCTGACATGCTGCATCACGACTTATCGAGCTGTCGAAGTTTCCCCGGACTTCCCTTGGCACAATGACCTCTGGGTCGCTCGTACTGCTCTCGTGCACTGTCACGACTCAACAGAGGCGATTGACGACGACTGTGCATTAATGATAAATCGCAAACTCGTATTAACGCAAACCAATCGACAATTTCGTTTGAAGTTAACTTCTGTTTGCGATCAATTCGACACATGATCTGTCGCCTTATCGCGTGAAATCGATTATCGTCGTCTTGGGGAAAATACGACGATGTCGCGTCGATAAGAAGGAATGAATGAAACTCGCGTATTATACATACATCGCTGACGGTACACACTTGCATCACTATTTATCCGTCCCGTCAATTGGTCGATTTGGACACAGACTTAAAGAATCCTTTGAAAAATTATATTTTATTTACGATACAAATGAATGATTTTATTTACGATACGAATGACGAGTCACGAAACACAGCCGAGCGATAAATGAGTGCCTCGTATAGTCGCGTTGTGTCGAGTGTCGAAATCCTCGCGATTTCCAGCGCATTTCGAAACTCATTGAAAGACGAAAAGTTCTTCGAGTCGACGACAATGCGTGATTTAAGCCACACAATATCTCGTGTTTCATACTCCATTTACAGAGGATTTCTGACGCTTTGTTAGAATTAAGGTATTGTCGTAGCGGAAAAATTCGCCTCTACCGAGAAGCGTATTTTCACGGCGGATGCAATGGCAGAGAGGTCAAATCTCGGAACGAGCGGGCAGAGAGTAACGCAAGGCGCCATAAATGGCGCCATAGGTACGATTTCGAGAATATCAAGTAACGACTTCGTAGCGCCAGGCTAGACGTAAGGCGTGAGACCAATTATAAACTGACTGAAATCTTGATAAATGAGTCTTTCTTCCCTTCGTTTCTTTTATCATGTGATTTTTTTTGTGGACGACATAAACTTTGTCAATTTTTAAAGGAAGAATGTTTTACAATACACGAAGAAATGCATTCATAGAAACATATCTTGCCTTTCCTCGCCAGATTATAACCGTCTCGTAGCCAGTTCTGCCACGGCGACAGTAGAAACGCGACGCGTAAATCACAGTGGTATATCCAAGATCGATGATGAAACAGCCACCCACCCTCTCGACCGCGAGTAACCCTCCTTACATTGAGGCGACGCGGTTCGATCATCGTCCGAACGGCAGGCAGCGAGACACAGCCGAGTTTCACGTTAGGTGACCGGAACCGGATCATCCTTATCTATGCCCACGCGTTTTCCTTCGTCCGCGAAGAAATCGCGCGATTATCTCGCGACGAAACGCTCGTCGGTAGCAACGCTGAGGACGGCAGCGAGCGAGCGAGCGAACGAGCCGGAGGAAAAAGAAAAGGACGATGAGCGTCACATCCTGGCCTATCGTCTCAGCTCCTCGAGGATCTCGTGAATCCCCGGTTGGAACGACAGCACCAACCGACTGGAGCTGCTCGAGGAGCCGTGAGAACCGTAATTGTCGTGCGACGCGCCGTTGTTATTGTGCTGTTGCTGTTGCGTCTGGTGCGTCTGACGAGCGCGCTGCGACTTGCCGGTGGTCGCGCCATCGACGGAATTGAGCGACTGATGACTACTACTCTGATTCGACCGATGACTACCGTGCAACTGGGACTCGGACAGACAACCGTAAGATCCGAGGGGATAGGGATCGAAGATAGTCACCGGCAACTCGCTCGCGCGCTCCCTTTGTTGCTGACGTTCGGCCTTGCTCGCGGGAACGTCACCGCTCGTCGCATTGTTACCGCTCTGCAACTGATTGTTCGTCTTACTGGAGCTCCTACTACTGACGGAATTGAGCGACTGATGGCCACTACTCAATCCCCCCGTCGTGCCCCACGTGCTGCCGTGCAGCTGGGAAGCGCCGCCGTACGCCGATGAATAAGTCGCATAAGTGGACACCACGTCCTCGACCAAACGGTTCCCTCTTTGCTGACCCGTCGTCTTGCTCGCGGAGATATCGTCGCTGGTGTTGTTGCCGCCTTGAAGACTGTTAGTCTTGCTGGAGGAACTTCTACCGCCACCGCCGCCGCCGGCTCCGCTGATCGAGTTCAGCGACTGATGGCCGCTGCTCAGTCCCCCCGTTGTGCCCCAAGTGCCGCCATGCAGTTGGGACGTGTTGTACGAGTAACCCGCATAAGTCGATACCATGTCCTCCACTAAACGATTTCCTCTGCTCTGCTGGCCGGTCGTCTTGCTCGTCGCGATGTCGTCGTTGGTGTTATTGCTACTCTGTAGACTGTTAGTCTTGCTGGAACTCCTGCTGCCGGACGCGGACGTCCTCAGGGTGGAACCGCCGGTCACGGGCTGCGCCGACGTTACCGCCGGTAGCGTATCGTTCTTGTCGCCCGGTGGCCTCGGTAACCGACGGCGCAGCCAGGGATGCCTCAGCGCCTTGTTCGGCGTCATCCGGCACTCCGGCTCCCACACGAGACAACGTCTGAGAAAGTCCAGGAAGAGAACGTCGTCGCAGCCCTTGAGGGCGCGCTCGAGATCGTGCGAGCCCGGCGGACCGCGCAGCTTCCCTCGTCTCGACAGACCCCCGCTTAGCACTGTCGTGCCGTCCGGCATCGCCGTCGCGGTGCAGTACTTCGGGTAGCCCTTCGAGCTGATGAACTGGCGCGATCTTTTCGAGTTCTGTAGCAACCGCTGCGGCGGCATGCCCAGCATCTCGATAATGCATGCCAGCTGGTCCGCCTCGTCCTCGCCCGGCAGCAGTGGGAAACCGGTGAACAATTCCGCCAGGATGCAACCGAGACTCCACATGTCGATCGGCATCCCGTACCTCGCGCCCAATATCACCTCCGGCGCGCGATAAAAGCGACTCTGGATGTAAGTGTATACCCGTTGATTCTCGTAGCAGCTGGAACCGAAATCTATCACCTGCAACACGCGAAACGATCTCCTTAATGCGCTGTGTGGAAAGAATCAGTGCAGCTTTGAACGATACGATAATAAATAAATAAATATAATAATAATCAGATAAATGTAATTAGTAAATAAATAATCAGATAACTATAAAATTGAGAGAATATCTCGCATTAAATATATAACAAATAAATTTCCAACATAATTTGGAAAATATATATTGCAAACAATAATCAAATAGAAACTTCATTTTTGGAAAAACAAGGGGAAATAAATTAATTAGAATATTTGTTACAAAATAAAATATATAATATCTGAACTATGTAACTTTATAATGTAGAATTATGCATGAAAAAAAAAAAAAAAAAAAACAAGTTTTTGCTGAAAATTTGGCCAAATATAAATCTTCAAAATTTAATTTTATTGAGCCATTAATAAAATTATTATGTAGAATTATGTTTAAACATGATGATAATACTGTTTAAAAATTTTTCTTATATTCTCGTATTCTACATAATTATTTGGATGACACAACAAAATTTATATCAATTATTCAAATCTATATCAGGCCAAATTTTTAAATCTTTCAGCAAAATTTCTTCCCATATGAAAAAAACTGTTATCGCTAGCTCGACGTGTACACCACATCACAACCATGTACGTATGGAAATATTTCATTCGTGAGAGAATCGATCAAGTTCGTATAAAGCTCGGGATTCGTTAATAATTTCTACGCGCGAGTGACCGTGGAGCAGCAACGGCGAAACGGGATGCACCCCCCGGATACATACTACACTCGAATATATCTGTTTTCAATTCGTAAATGATGCACGTGGCCCGCGCAAAGTAAAGCGTGTGCATCGTTTATGGCGCACCTAGCAGCGAACGTGTCGTAATGATGGCCCGATAATTTTACCTCGCGTTTGCTCAACGTAACACCGTTTAATCACTTCGTGCCTCAACCGCACGATCACACACCGAAAAAGAGCGTATCCGCAAATCTCACAACGCGACATTTTTTTCAAAATACATAAAATATTTTTTGTTCACAATAATAATATTTAATTAATTATATTTAAACGAGATTACTTTTATGTCATAATATTCGTCTTCCCGTGTGTTATTATCAACTCTAAAATCACCAGCGAAATTCCGGAGAGACGTCGGAAAGTTTTTTGCATGATAAATACGAGAATATTCTATTTTACATTGCGCCTGCATCGCGACGCAAAAAAGGATAATTAATTTCTCGTGGCATATTCCACAATTTACTCTCTCACTTTTTCCATCTTTCATTTGCAACTTTCTCGAAATCGTAAATCGTCGTCGAGCATTATTCAGTTTCTTGATCTTCGCGAGATGACTGGTAAAAGGTGGGCGAGACAAATTGCACCGGCGAACGTCGCGCGATTCAATAATCCCGTGCCTTCTGGCCTACTTTAATATTTCGGGTAACATCGCCCCTTTCGCGTGCGTGATGAACAGAAACGGCGCGTTGGAGATTGTCCAGGATTCAGCTCGGCTCGTTTCAAATTTGGTTACTCGGCCGCGGTGCGCCGAGACTTCAATGAGCTACAATTCCCGGCGATCAATACCCGATGCCGCGACCTCCAACGAAATCTCCGCCTAAAAATAACGTGCGTCTTCGTGGATCAAGGAACCGAGGTATCAGGCATCGATACGGACGCGTTCGTTAACGATATCGACGGCTTTGAACGAAAAAAAGCTTCCCGAAACCATGTCAAAAGTTATCTCTTCTCTCTTCATTTATATCTAATAAAACGGAAGGATTTCGCCAGATCTTTTTCGAAATTTTGGCAAAGATATATGGAACAATTTTGCTGTAGAAAATAAAAATTTAACCAGATCTGAATATCAATCATTGGACCATAAAAATTATTATGTAAGATGTTTAGACGTGATAACATTGCATAATTTTTTTATATTTTAGCAACTAATTTGAATATCTTACATAATTATTTTGATGGCCCATTACAAAATTATTTTTCAGATTTACATCCAGTAAAACTGTTCTTTTTGTAGAGGGAAAAATTTGTTTTTTCAGCATCTATAAAATGTATTCTAAATTTCTTGCGGTATTTTTTCGTAACAGGATATACAAAAAAACGTTCGTTCCAGTAATACGAGTAACGCGTAACAACAACTTATTATACAGTCGATAATATCTAGATACGTTCGTATATAATTAGATCTTCCATTAACTCTTCCGGTTAATGTGAAACGAAAAAATCCGGTCAGAAGAAAGCAGGAAAGAATTATCTGGGACACCCTATATATCCTGCTTTCGTGGTTATTACGCGATATGATGAGCAAGAGAAAATAATTCGCAATTAATCAAAAGCCATAACCATGAAAACATAATTCAGCGTGTACCGTGTGTTTTCTGTATCGATAGAAAGTCCGCTTTCCAGTACGTGTTTCAAAGTGATTCTCGCCACATTCAAGCTGTTCAAGCTGTGCTAGAAAGAGATGTCATAGGAAAATATCCCTGCTAGGAAAATCCAATCGTTACAATTCACAATAATGCCATCCTGAAAATAAGCCCGTGACGTGTTCGATTAAATTTCAATTATATTTCTGAATGAATTAATTTTTGACACAAGCTCGTACAAGTGAGCGATGAAAAATGGCTCTGCTTATCTCGTACCCCTAAACTTTCATGTTTCACTTGATGGCAGACACGTAAGCAATTCCCCCACGTGCGTCATCGTGACAAAACATTCAGGTTGATCGATTTTAAAGGGCGACCGACCGGCTGGCCGGAAGTTTTCGTAGGGTGCACTTTTGGCGGAAGTACCCGTCATCTAGATATTCCGAATCAATTTTTCTCTGTGACGTCAGCCCATTTTTAGAATTCCGATATAATTAATAGAACTGCGGCTTACCGCAAAGAGTTGCAGAGTTCCCGTTACGTTCCAAAGAGAATTCGAATGACAAGATGTGAAAAAGCGGCGATCCAAAGATCGACGTCACGTTTTCGATTCGTTGTACGAATCTTTTTAATATCCAACACACGCGAAATGTCAAGGGGAGAGAGAGAGAGAGAGAGAGAGAGAGAGAGAGAGAGAGAGAGAGA